TTTTTAAAAAATTAAAAGATAAAACCAGACTTTCATGATGGAATAAATAGATAATAATAAAGTTGAATTAAAATTTTTTTTGTTTACTTTAAAAATTAAAAAATAAAATCAGACTTTCGTGATGGAATAAATAAATAATAATAGAGTTGAATTAAAAATTTTTTTGTTTACTTTAAAAAATAAAAAATAAAAAATAATTTTAAATAAATTTGACATAAATTTAAAATAAAAAATTATAATTATTTTGAAACAAAAATTTTCTCCTAAAATGACTAATTAATAATGTGGAACAGGGGAAGTAATAATAAAGTTGAATTAAAATTTTTTTTGTTTACTTTAAAAAATAAAAAATAAAAAATAATTTGAAATAAACTTGACATAAATTTAAAATAAAAAATTATAATTATTTTGAAACAAAAATAGTAGCTAGTTTGGTAAAAAAAAAAAGGAAGAACGATTAGGTGACAAAAAAAGTCAGAGCCCATTGCACTGACCTCATGTAGATGGCCGAAAAAGAGCCCAAATAGAAACACCTGACGTCCAAAGTCCAAACCATTTCTGCCGAAGGACCAAGTCCGACGGCCATCATTCCTAATTCGAAGGATTCGCAGGTATACCGGGAAATCGGAAGAATTCTAATCTCCAGCGCAAACCCATTTCCCATGGAAGAAGACGGCAGAGTCTCCGAAGCCACGGGCACCAGCTCCGCCCTTTTTCCCTCGCAATCAGCTGACCCACTTCACATGGAAGAGGAAGAATCAATGTCTAGCCCCACCAGAGGCCCTATTTTGAACAAAAATCCTGTCCAACCAATTGAAGTTGATGATCTCCAAAACCCTAGTTTCAGCAACTACAGCAATCTAGTTAACTCGATCGAAGAGGGAGTGGAAGAGGGAAGCAATAGCCTCAATCATTCGTCTGAGGGTGGTCCATGCTACAGCTCCGATTATGGTCCACCGCCGCTTAGAAGACCCAGTTCTCCTGAAGAAGATCGCATCAGCGCCTTGCCAGACTGCGTCATTCACCACATCCTCTCATTTTTGCCAACCAAGGACTCCATCAAGACCGGCATTTTATCAAAGAGATGGGAAAAGTTGTGGTCCTTCGTTCCCAACCTTAGATTCCGTGTTCTTGACGATGAACCTCAACCTCACAAATTGTTTAGGATGATTGATGGAACCCTGATTCTCTACTCTTCAACCAAAATCAGGAAATTCGTGCTTCGTTTTGACTACGAGATGTTCACGAGAGAAGTCCCAAAGTCGGATATGGATTCTTTTATTGATTTATGGCTCCGCTTCGCTGCCAGACGAAATGTGCAGGAGCTCTGTTTGAAATTCTGTGCGAAGAGATACCTAATGGGGAAAGAAATGTTAGCTGATGAAGATTTTGATCGTTACACTATGCCTCAATTTTTATTTGATGATTCTTCACTGACGAAATTAAGATCGAGATTTTGTGATTATGTCTCTAAAGGGCAAGTGTCTTGGAAATCCCTCAAGGTTTTGACCATTAGGAGTGCAGTGTTGACTAATGGTATGCTTCAAAGAATCTTGTTAGGTAGTCCAGTGCTCGAAGAATTGGAATTGAGTGACTGTTGGGATATAACTAGTGTCAATGTTATTTCAAGTGGTAGTTTAAAAAAATTGGTGATAGAAAATTTTAACAACCCCTCCCAGGAGGAAGAGGACTTTGAATATTCTGTGATGGAAATTTCAGCTCCTAATCTGAAGTCTTTGGGAATTTTGGGACATTGGGAGGGAACCAAGTGTCATTTGTTGGATGTATCTTCCTTAATTGATGCCCATATTGATTTTGCATTATATGAGTATGGTGTTAGTAACAATTCACATGATGCATTTATGGAGACTACGAATGCACTGCTTCAGAAAATCAATCATGTGGAGCTACTTACTATTGGGATTGGATGTATTCAAGTAAGTGTTTCTTATCATTTATGGCTGAACTTTAACCGCACACAGTATAGATGATACTTAATGATTGGTTAGTGCACGGTTTAAAGTTTAAACATCCTCGTTGTTTTGCTTCTTTTTTGATGTTCTAGGCTTTATCAATGGCGGAGGATAGAGGATTACCTTCTCCTTTCTTTAACTGCAATTGGAAGTGCTTAACTGTTAAGACACCGATCGTACTCGAGTTGAATCTCCCTGGGATGGCAAATTTCCCTAGGATGGCAGGTTTGCTTCAGAATGCACCAAATCTGGAGAAATTAGTTGTAGATCGGACCAGTTGGGTAAGATTTACTTGAGCTGGCACTCCTGTTTCTTTCTCAAGATTGTGTTGTAGACTGGAAGTTTGTGTTACTAGTGACTTCCAATCTCATTTGCCTGTAGCTGCTTGAAAGTGCCTTGATGACAAGCTATCCATATTCAAACAGTCCTTTTTTCTAGGTTGAATTTGATGATGTTTTCAACTAACAATATTTTCATCTGCAGTTTTATGGCAGTGTTTACTTTAGTTTGATTCATCCCACCGAAGAGAATTTCCAGACATCACGGGCGAGAAGTTTTAGTTGCTTGCTCAGGCATCTGAAGGCTATTGAGTTAGTTGAACCTTATATAGACGCAAATTATCCTGGTTACCTATATGAGTTTTTGCAATTTGTCCTTCAGAATGCAATGGTTCTGGAAAAGATGGTTGTACCCTCATGGCATTATGAAGCTGCTCGAAAACTGTTAAGCTTTCCAAGAGCCTCACCACATGCTGTGATTTTGCTATCCAAACCATGAACTAAATCTTGGGAAAGTTCTCATATTGTTCCCTTTTTGGATTTATCAACAGCATCTAGTGAGAACTATAAAGAAACCTCTTTCTGTAACATGATAACTCAATTGGTTGAATGCAAGTTCTTTGTTTTGGCTCAACTCCTTAGTAACCAATAGACTTGATATTGTTTTTCTTTGTTCTCCCCAGAATACTTTTCTAAAATGTAAATGAAAGTAAAGTTGCCAAGATCAATGTCCTATTGTTTTTCTTTTCTCTGTCTCAAATTGTATCGTTCTTTTTTCTTGGTTTTCTTCTTCCAATGGCTTCGAGATTCATCAAGTGTGTGACAGCGGGAGATGGGGCTGTTGGCAAGACCTGCATGCTTATTGCAATGCTTATTACAATGGGATTTCGAGTGGCAGCGATTATTGCAAGAGGCAGGAACCAGAAGTTAGGGGAATAATGGCTTAAAATATGTTTTTAGGGTTCAGCTGTATATGGCCTTTGGCGTGAAGGGCATGCTAGGATTTTCTCAGGTAAACAACGGGAGCTGAGTTTGAGTCTAGATTAGCAGATTATATGAATGGAGATGTGGTGTAGCTGATTAGTTTTTCACTCTCTGCCAAGTCCCAAGCGAGTCCACTTTTGCATCCAAGTTTCAAGCATGCATTGAAAATTTATTTCTGTTGAGGAGATCTTTATTGTAACTTGAAATCAATTATTCAGATATGACGACAACAACGTGATATTTATAACAATGAATATCTTATAATTATAATAATATATGATATTTTAAATTTATAATATGATATGTTGTTATATAATTTAATTTTTTATTTAAAATTTTATTTATAATATTAAAATTTTATTTATTTAATATTATATTATAATTTAGGTAACATTTTAATTATAATACCATCGTTGTAATATATATATATATTTTTTGACTTAAGGGAATTATTGAAGATGAAGGAAGTAATGCCTTGAAAATAAATTTTAAGATTTTTACGTCCAAACATGTTTTCACAAAAGGAATGATCACTAGGTCACATACTATTAGATTATTGTTGTTGTAATATTTATATCATAAATTGATGAATGGAAATTTCGTTACCCAAAAGTTTGATCAGTACACTAGGAAGGCAGTGAAACCAGTATGGTTACAGACTGTAGTGGATAACTATCCTTGACAACGAGGGGAGGGTAATAGGGTAAGCTTCTGGTGGGATGATTGGGGGGAGAGGGGTGTCTCGCTAATAAATTCCCTAGATTATATACTTTATCAACAGGAAAGGAGAGTACGTGCAATCAAATGGGCAAAAACATAAATGGATCATGGGAATGGAATCTAGCATGGAGGAGAAAATTGTTCGATTGGGAAGATGAAGAGGCCAAACAACTCCAAAGGATGATAGCGGACGTGAAGATTTCACAAGGGAAGCTTGATGCGTGGGAGTGGGTTCACAATAAGGATGGTCATTATTCAACAAAGACAGCTTACTCATTGTTTACTCATTGTTGACACAAGAGCAAAGAGGATCAAGGGGAACTGAAATCTTCAGAAGAATATGGAACCCTTTATTTCCAAGCAAAGTTTTAGCATTCAATTAGCAACTGATGTTAGATAGAATTCCAACAAGGATGAATTTGTTAAGAAGAGGGATTACTAAGGACATGGAGGAAGGCAGGTGCGCTATATTCGGAGAAGCCGATGAGAATGCTGGGCATTTATTTTTAAATTGCAAGTGTGCTTGCTGGATATGGAAAGCTTGTGCTAAATGGTGGGGAGCTAAGATATCTTTCGGAACAGATTGCTGGAACAAATTTCAAAATTTTGGAGCATGGACCAAGAGTAAACACACTAGAGAAGGATGGGACTGTATATGGAATACTGTTATTTGGTCCATATGGCTGTCTCAAAACCAGAAAATATTTCAGGATAAAGAGATAAACCTGGGGAAACTATTTGAACTCATCCAACTAAAATCCTTCTTATGGATTAAAGCAACAAATGACAGGTATACTTTCAGTTTAACTGATTGGCTAATTAATCCTATTGTTTGTTTGAAAGTCACAAATGATTCAGGAAGGTTTCATTGAGAATTTAACTTACTGCAGTGTTGTTCTTGATCTATGGGGTTCTTTAAGCTGTAATCAATGCATGCTTAATGACTTTGCGTGCCAGTGGATTTAACAAATGAGAAGGTTTTGTGGACCTAAACAATGATTTATGAAGAAATTGCAAAAGAGGACAGAAGCTCGACACGGGTCTAGTGTCGACACGTTCTTTTGGTGTCGACACCATATGTTCAGCATTCAAAACTCCGACACGGACATGGTGTTGACACTTTTTTTGGGGGTTGACACTAAATGGCAGGCGTCCAAAACATTTTATTTGATACCTGTCAAATATGATGTTATGGGTTTGGCTACTTTGTACTCGGTTATTAATAAATATTATTTTTTGCTGTTAAAAAAAAAAAAAAAACCTATCCTTGACAACGGACCTAACAACACGCCTTATTAACCTACGGGGCATATGAACAAAATTGCACAAAAACAAATCATTATAAAACTCAAGCTCTGCACAATACCAAACGAAAACAAATCCACTCTACACCTCAGCTCCAAATCCATTCCGGACGAAGTCACTGCAACGTCAATCGAATTGAGAGGTTAAATTGCAGATAGATATACAATTTTAATTTATTTTTAAATAAGTGAATTTATATAATATTGAGTACGTTTTTAAAGATAGAATTAATTATATAATAATAAATTAAAATTATAAATTTTATAATATTATATAATATTATAATTATATAATTTTTTACAATAAAAAACAGCCTAACAACATGTATAATGGTGCTTTTCTTCATTATTCTTTTCTTAACAAAAAACAGGCATATAAATATAACTCTACGTTACTGTTGGTAAAGTTTTTAGAAGAGAATAAACTCTGTTACAACTATTTAAGGCACAAAAGTGCTGCAGAGCGCTACTTCATTTCCTTCATCAAAGATTTCTTGTTGTATTCTTAAAATTTCAACTAGTTTGTTATTTAAATACATAAGATATAAATAAATAAAATAATATTATCATGACTTTTAAAAAGGCCCATCGCTAATTCAATAACAATCTTTCATTGTGACTTTTAAGGAAATTTATTTATTAAAAATGGCGTGCAATGTGAAATGTTTTATTTAAGAAATAAATATATAAAAATATCATTTTATATAAAATAATATTAGTTATAGTAGAATAAGTTTTTTCATTTTTAGCAGAGGACATGCTCTCCATCTATTAGTTGAAAGTAGTTGTAATCAGCTGTGTCCAACTCATCCTCTCAAAGGTAAATTAAACTTATCCTAAGGTCCCTGAGGGAAATTGCAGAAGGGGTTGAGTTGAGGGAAACATCGAGGGGTCAATCGTCCATGTCTTAGGCTATAAAAGTGGGGTAAAAGTCCCTCTTAAACCTCTAGATTTAACTCAAATTAATATTTAAACCCCTAAACTAAAAATAGTGCAAATAAGCCCTCAAATCCTTTGGATGATGCAAATGAGTCTTTAAACCCCTTGAAAGATGCAAATTAACTCTCAACATTAATAGCCCAATGCATGCGACCTCATGTCTTTTTTTTCCTTTCTTTTTTGCTTGGTCCCACTAGTCTATGTAAATGCTCACGTGGATAAAAAATTGTTTGGGGCAATAAGAATCCTACCAAAATTACCCATGTGGTTTGAGAGCACTAAAAAAAAGGGTCATAGGAGTCATTTTGGAGAATTTTTATTGCTTAAGGGATTCTTTGATCTATAATAACATCCACATGAAAAAAGGAAATTAAGTGAAAGAGAAGAATAGATGATATGAGGTCACATGCACTGGACCATTAATAATGAGAGTTGACTTGTATCTTTCTAGAGGTTTGAGGATTAATTTGTATCATTCAAGGCGTTTGAGAGCTTATGTGTAACGTTTTTAGTTTAAAGGCTCACAGGTTAATTTGGGATAAGTTTGAGGGCGTAAGAGGGGGTTTTGCCTAAAAGGGGCAAGGGGCTTTCTTTCACACTTAAGCAAGAAGAAACTGAGGAAAGAAAAGGAGGAGAGGGAGTGAGAGTTTTAGAGTAGAAGAAAGAAGAGACGAAGTTGAGGAAAAGGAAGGAGGAAAGGAAAATACAGGTGTGGACTACTTTCTCTTTCCCCCTAGCCATTTAATTATTCATTAAACCTTACTATTTTTCTATCCTCTCTATCTCTCTTTTCTCCTTTCTTTTCTTTCTCGATCATGGGAGAATGATGAAGAAGTGGAAAGGTTATAGGGAGATTCAACGGTGAGTAGTGGAAGAGCTCCCAATTTTCCCATGAATGTGTAAAGCTAAGTGATTAAACATTTTATTATTAGTTTATCAAAGAAGTTTGCAGGACACTATTGCAAAGGGATGATCTTAAAGTCACCCATTGTTATAGAATATTCATATTATAATTATGTTAATTAGATTTACATTATAATTGATTGATATAATTAGATTAATTGATTTTATACCATAGAATATTATCTTTTACATGCCTATAAATAAGCACATTATATATTTAGTGAAACTAAGAAAGAAAGAGTTTCTTTCTTCATATATCTTTATATTTTTTTCTCTTTATTTTTTCTATCATAATAACAGAGTCTTAAGGCTTTTTTTACTATTACTGTTCATCTCCTTTGTGAGTTGCTGCTTTACTTGTAGGTGGTGCCGATCAATCATCATCTTTGCTTTCTTTCTTGGACTTATTTGCAATTGGGTTTTCTTGATCTTGTTCCTTTGTTGCGCTGGCAATACGTGTTACTCTCACAACCAGTGTTGCTCCAACATTCTCGCATTCAATTGCTGCTAATTTTGCTCTTGATTTCCTATTGCTGATTTTGCTCTTGATTTTCTACTGATTTTGCTCTTAATTTCTCGCAATTGAACTTTCAATATTACTGTTGCCCAGATCTGATATTGCTTCCTTCTCCTCTAACGACGTTGACTGTACTAATCTGCGCATTCAGTATACAGTATACAGATGTTTTCACCAAAAACTCACTTTCCTAGACGCTTCCGTACTTTTCTTTCCAAACTCAAGTTGGTCTCCTCATTATCACCTTGACTTTGATGGGAGATGTTAAAAAATATTTATATTATAATTATGTTGATTGAATTCACATTATAATTGATTGATATAATTAAGTTAATTGATTTTGTGCCATAAAATATTTTCTTGTACAAGCTTATAAATAAGCACATTGTATATTCAGTGAAATTAAAAAAGAAAAATTTTCTTTTTTCGTATATCTTTATATTTTTCTTCTTTTTTATTTTTTTTATCACCCATAAACAGTAAAGGTTTTATTACATTCTGTAGTGAAGAAGATCATTAGTTCAAATATAAGAATAAAAATACATAATTTTTGTTTGAGGAAACTGTTTTACAGGGCAAACGATATGCAATCCGTTTTATATTATTTTTTAAAAATACTTAAATAATTTTACAAGGTTATAAAACAGTTTTCTGTTTTTGTTTAACCCTTTAAAGTTTAAACTACTCTTTCCTCTGTTCATTTCTCGTGACAGCAGTACGGTTAACTTCATGGAAGAGGGAATGGAAGAGGGAAGCAATTGCCCCAATAATTCAGCTGAGGATGCTCCATATTGCCCAACCTGGCTCAAAGGAAGAGCCGAATCTCTTGAACATGATCGTATCAGCGCCTTGCCGGATTCTGTCATTCACTACATCCTCTCATTCTTACCCACCATGGACTCTATCAAGACCAGCGTTTTGTCAAAGACATGGGTAAAGTTGTGGTCCTTTGTTCCCAACCTTAGCGTCCATGTTCTTGATCTTGATCATCCTGACAAGTTGTTTAGGATCATCCATGGAACCCTGATTTTCTACTCGTCGACCAAGATCAAGAAATTCCTGCTCCATTTCGACTACCACAGGCTTGTGGAAGAGATTCCAAAGTCAAATATGGATTCTCATATTGATTTATGGGTCCGCTTCGCCACCGAACGAAATGCAGAGGAGCTTTGTTTGGAATTCGGCTCAGAGAATGACCTTATAGTTATAGCCAACGACTCAGAGAATGGCGATATGGCCAAGGAAAAAGGTCATGATCGTTACACAATGCCTCAATTTCTATATGATTATTCTTCAATGACGAAATTAAGTTCCACAGGATGTGATTATATGCCCAAAGGGCAGGTGTCTTGGAGACACCTCAAGGTTCTGACCACTGGGAAAGCAGTGCTGACTAATGATAATCTTCAAAGGATTTTGTCAGGTAGTCCAATGCTTGAAGGATTGAAATTGTGTGACTGTTGGGATATTACCAGTGTTGATGTTAGTTTAAGTGGTAGCTTGAAGAAATTGGTGATAGATGGCGTTTGTGATCCCTCAGCGTTTGGGTGGATTGAAGAATATACTATGGTGGAGATTTCAGGACCAAATCTAAAGTCGTTGGAAATTTTGGGAAGTTGGCAAGAAACCAAGTGTCGCCTGTTGAATGTATCATCCTTAATGGATGCACATGTTAATTTTGTATCATATTCTAAAGGTATCTTTGAATTTGATGAGTTTGCGGAGACCGTGAACGAGCTGCTTCAAAAAATCAAACATGTCAAGCAACTTACCATTGGGACTGGATGTATATAAGAAGTGTTTCTTACTTTCTTATCATTTCATGGTTTGAACCTTTTAAACTGCACATGGCTTACTTAAATATCCCTGTTGTTTTGCTTCTGTTGTGATGTGCTAAGGCTTTGTCAATGGCTGACTATAGAGGATTACTTTCTCCTTTGATCAACGGCGATTGGAAGTGCTTAACTCTTTATATACGGAATGTTAAAGAGTTTGTTCTCCCTGGGGTGGCATTTTTGCTTCAGAATTCTCCAAAATTGGAGAAAGTAGTTGTGGATACGGAAAATGTGGTATGATTTACTTGACCCACTCCTGTTTCTTTCTCAAGGTAGTGTTGTAGGCTTGATGTTAGTGTTAATAGTTACTTCCAATCTCATTTACTTATGCCTTGTTCACAAGCTATTGGTATTGGTAGTCTTATGATACTCTTTTCCATGATAAATTTGATGATATTTTCTACTGAGTCATCCGCAGATTTATGACATTCACAACCATATTTCCATTCATCCCACTGGAGATGATTTCTGGACGTTACAAGAGAGAAGTTTCGGTTGCTTGCTCCAGCATCTGAAGACTATTGAGTTTGTTGATCTTGTTTGGGGTAAATATGATTATGATGGTTATCTCCTAGGTGCATTTATGCAATTTCTGCTTAGAAATGCAAGGGTTCTAGAAAAGATGGCTGTACATTACTCACCATGGGCTTTCTTAGTGGATGATGCATACGATTCTGATGAAGCGGCTAGAATACTGCTGAGCTTTCCAAGAGCCTCGCCACATGCTGTGATTTTGGTATCCGCAAGTCCTATGATCTTATCACCAGGTAAAGATTTTTTATTAATATCCAAAGATAGGATCTGGTAGAAAATTACATGCTGAAGTGAGTCGAAAACTGTTGAGCTCACCTAAGAGCCTCTACCTCATGCCGTGGTTTCGCTATCCAAATGTCCCTAGAACTGAAACCCCAGGAATATTGTCATCATATAGCACTTCTGTTATCAACGGTGTGAAATGAGCGTTTTAAAGAATAATGTTTTGTAAGATGATAATTTGGTTGAATGCAAGTTCCTTGCTTTGGTTGTAATGCAACCTTTGAGTAGCCTGTAGACTTGATACTGTGTTTCCTTGTTCCATTGATATCAAATCCTTTTCCATTGCACAAATTAACACGTAGTAAATTATAACAACTTTATTGCTTTTGTTTTTTCTTTTTAGCAAAGAATTTCGATATAAATTATAAAATGATAGATGGAAGTTGCTCGAAGTTTTCCCCTCTTTTTTTTTGAATCATAGCAAGGTATATAATGAGACATACCCAATTCAAGTACTGTAATCTCAATGTATATCTTTGAAGTAGTCATTAAAAAAGAATAAAGAGTCGAGACCCTTTTTTTTATTTTTTTGGTGGAGAGGCTAGAGTTATTATTGAGTTTATCACAACTATTTTTTTTTTTTTAAATTTTGGATACACAATAAGAGTTAATCATCTTCCCATCCCTTATTCTATTTCACCCGAGTTTGTTACAACTATTAAATTTGTTAAATCCACTGATTTAATTGTAATTTTATTAATTTATATTTCTTAAAAATATTAGTTATAATATTTAAAAATATTTATTTATAAATTAATTTTAATCTATTGAATAATAAATATTAACTCTTTTATTATTTATCAATTATTGTTAATAGTTAAATTAAAATTAAAATTTAATAAATTTTATAACAATTTTAATAAATTTAATGATAGTTATAATCATGCTTAACAGTGGCTGATTAGTTTCTAACTTTTGGGTCAACTGAGTTCAAAACCCAAACAAGTTTCTCTTCCATCAACAGTCCACAACAATACAATTTTAGTTAGCCCACAAACCTGAAGCCTCATCACCTTCAACTCACATTAAATCAAAGTATCAAACCCTTTCTTTTCTTTTTTCCCTTTTGGCCGTCAAACGCTTTCTTTTCTTAAAAATGAAATTTCCTTCTATTAAAAAATGAAAATTAAAAGGACAAATAAAATGCAAACAAATAATATTGATGAATTTTTTAAAGTTTGGTGATTTCCAATTCGAATTGCAAAACATCAACTATTAAATGGAGGGATTCTTTCCTAATATCAAGAATCTCTTTTAATTAAATAGTTAGTGTTTATAATTTAATACAATTTAAATTACAAATTTTTTTTATTTTTTTTATGAGTATACCATGAGGCACGGAATAATATATACATTTAATTAAGTACTCTAGGTTCAAACTTAAACCCTTAATTTGAAAATTGGTTTTTAGTGCAACAAAATCGCATATCAAAAGTCCAAGTGAAATGTTTTGTCAATTGGAAGATGACGTTTTAGTAAATTTAAAGACATAAGCATAAAACCTGTAATATGATACAAACAATTTTTGACAAGTTTCTCACATGAAGCATGAAACCTCTAATATATCATACCCTTATTGGTTGGGATACACTGTTGCTGATATACCCTTGCAAGTGCAACAAAGAAACTTTTATTTGTTTATCTTCATTTGTAAAATTTTGATAATAAAATAAAAGAAAAATAAAAATTAGGACATCCTATAATGTAAAATATTAGAATTTTTATGAAATTATTTAAATATTTTTAATAAATATTTTTTATATGTTAATTTATTTAAGATATTTAAATAATTTCATAAAAAAAATTTAATATTTTAATTATCAAGATGTTTTGATTTTTTGCAATCCCATAAAATAATAGTTACTTAAAATCTTTTTATGATGACAAGGTACAAAGCACTATTTGTTTTGTGGAACTGACAACAAAAAAAAAAACAATTTATTTTGTGGAGGATTTCTACTGACAGTGGTTGTTGCATGGGGCAAGAGGCAAAAGTTAGTGCTGAGGATTAGGGGCTTAAGAATATTGACTTTGCATGAACTCTGTATATTGGCATTTATTTATTTATTTATTACTATTTTAGACAAGAACTATACATGGCTTCTTTTTTTTTTTTTTTTGGAAAATAGGCAATGTGTATATGTCATTTGAGTTTGAAAGAAATGCTTGTAGATGCAAAGAACTCCAAATTCCTTGGTTGACCTGCAAAGCTCCATGGTTGATTCTCAGGATAAACATTTTAATGCTTAAATGAGTAATAATCAGGTTTATTGAATAAAACACAAGAACTAAGCTCAAAATCAATTTCAATTACCTCTTGAAAAAGACTATTGAGAGGTATTTATAACTTTTAAAGGGGTGTCTACATATTTTTTCTTATGAAAAACCGAGATCATATGTGTTAATCAGCGTAGAAATCTCTTATAAGAAATCTGAGTATATACGAAATTACTATAGAGCAAGTATAGAAGGGATGAGATCGACATCGTCTAAGTTCATCACGCTTCAAGTGACTTCTAAAGGCCCTCGAGGTCATACATCCGACTTAATTTAGCTTGTCCGAGGTCATTTACCTCGGATTATCATCACAATGCTAGGATTTTGTCTGTTCAGGTTATCAACAGCAGCAGAGTTTGAGTTAGAGTTAGAATGGCTATGGTTAGTTGGACTGTAGTTGATTTGATTCTCACTTTTAGGCCAATTAAGTTCAAAACCCAAACAATTCTTTCCAGTCCACACACCACATTCTACAACTCCAATCCAATTTTAGTAACCCAAAACCTCTTCGCCCTTTTACATCTGATGATTCAGATCACACATGCACATCCTTTCTTTTCCTCAAAAATGAAAATTGTTCTCATTAAAAAAAAAAAAAAAACTGAAAAAAAAAGGGCAAATAACATGTAAACAAAAATGATTTTTTTTTTTAGGACAGTTGATGGGAACAGAGAACAACCCTCATTTTTCTTAAACTTTACTTCATACGTCTCGTGTTTAAACACAAGACCTTTAACTGAAAATTAAAATTCTTAATAGTTAAGATAAAAAAAAAAATCTTAATA